TCAAGCAATTCTCCTGCCTCAGCCTCCTGAGTAGCTGGGACTACAGGTGCACACCACCACGCCCAGCTAATTTTTGTATTTTTAGTAGAGAAGGGGCTTCACCATGTTGGCCAGGATGGTCTCAATCTCTTGACCTCATGATCCATCTGCCTCAGCCTCCCGATGTGCTGGGATTACAGGTGTGAGCCACTGTGCCTGGCCTAAAAATTAGTTTTAATTTTAAAAATCTACTTGAAGCAATCTTTGGGGGACATGCTAGTCAAAAGAATAAATTCAGTATTAGTAATAATTGAAAACCTTTTTTGGGCAATTTATATGTCAAGCAGTTTATGTATAACAGCATTTTAAGTATATTTTTCACATTTATGTCTTAGAAAAATCCTGTGATGTAGTACCAGTGTCCTTATTTCATAAATGAGCAAACTGAGGTACAGAGGGATTCACTAATAGTCCCAAGGGCACAAATCTAGTAGATGAGACTGGAATTTGAACTTCACCAGTTTTACCCTACAGCTGTAAGATTATACTGACTGTCTTATAGTCAGTAAGACCATTTGAAATTGGCATTTATACTTTGGACCCTAATAAGATTACACCATTGTTCAGATGGTATAAAAAGAATACTTTGTGTAGGATTCTTTAGCCAAGCAGCTTCATGAGAGAAATTTTAGAAGCCACATACAGAAATTTGTAAAGAATGTGATTATGACCCTTTGAGGAAGATTTTAACACTCAAAATTAGCAAATCATTGCCTGGCTTTGCTGAGTGTCTTTAAGATTTAGATGAAGCAGATGGGGGCTGACCAAAACACCTGTGTTGGCTCAGCGCAGTGGTTCATGCCTATAATCCCAGAACTTTGGGAGGCTCAGGTGGGCAGATCACTTGAACTCAGGAGTTCAAAATCAGCCTGGGCAACATGGTGAAACCCCGTCTCTACCAAAAAAAAAAAAAAAAAAGAAGCTGGGCATGGTAACACTTGCTTGTAGTCCCAACTACTTGGGAGGCAGGCTGAGGTGGGAGGATTACCTGACCCCAGGAGGTCAAGAAACACTTCTGTCTTTGCTGATGATGGGACTTAGAGCTAAGAAGTAGGAGAAGGCTAAGCGGAAGCCACCACCTAAGGAGAATTACTTTAGAAATGAAGGTGCCATGGGGCTCTTGATATCTTTGTCAGTAGTTTTATGGAAGAAGCATGGATGCCATGGTTCCCTATTTCTGCTAGTATGTTTCAGAGACAAAGTAAATTCAAGAAGAGATGAACAACAGAAGAAATAGTACTAATGTGAGCTATATGAATAGTGGTGTTTTGCATAGAGTCCTTATTAATTTAGTTTGATTCTTTCCGTTTTGTCTTTTTTAATCTGTTCCTGTCACCCCATGCATCTATTTTCTCATGATAGTCTATACATTTTGTTGTTCTGCTATTGCATCTTGTATCTTTTCTCTGTTTCCCTTCTTTTAAAAAACCTCTGTAAAGGAGATTTGCTATTGTAAATTGTAGTTTAGAAGTTAACCCTCCCCCTGTAGTTTAGTCTCTTCTAATAAACTGTAAGCAACATTGGCCAGGACCTATGTGTAAATTCATCTTGAGTGAATGAATAAACAACAGTATTGTGACTAAGTAACCTATACTTGCACATATATATATGAAAAAGCTATACTTGGCTATATTATAGAATAATATAGGAATCTATAAAAGAACAAAAAATTTATTACCTTTATACCCAGTTTTAAAAATACTGTATTCCCTTTTAGAAGGTTGTGGTTATTGAACAACAACAAAAAGGTAAAGAGTGCATTGGAACTGAATCATTTTCTGAGAGCTAAAAAAAAAAAAAAGGTAAAGAGTACACACTGTGTAGACCCATTTACATGAAATTCTTTAGAAGACAAACTATAGTAAGAAAAAGCAGATCAGTAGTTGCTTGGGGCTGGAGTGGGCAGGATTAACTACAGAGGAGCAAAAGGTAGCTTTACCAAATGATTAAAATGTTCTCTGTCCTGACCATGGTGATTACACAAACATATATACTTTAAAAAAAATTAATGGAACATTTAAAATGGGTGCAATTCTATAACTGTATAAAGGACATGATTTATATATATTCTGCCACTGCACTCCAGGCTGGGCAACAGAAGAAATAGTACTGATGTGAGCTATATGAATAATGATATTTTGCTATTTTGGGAGGCTGAAGTGGGAGGATCACTTGAACCCAGTAGGTAGAGGATGCAGTGAGCAAAGATTGTGCCACTGTACTCCAGCCTGGGTGACAGAGTGAGACCCTGTTTCAAAAAAAAAAAAAAATTTTTTTTTTTACTTGTACTGAACCATGTACAGATTTCTTTTCTTCTTGTTATTCCCTAAATGATGCAGTATAAAAGCTATTTATGTAGCACTTAATGTTGTATAAGGTATAAGTAATCTATAGATGATTTGAAGTATATAGGAGGATGTGCATAGATTATATGCAAATACAAAACCATTTTATATTAGGGACTTGAGCATCCAAAAATTTTGTGGGAAGTCTTGCAACCCATCTCCAACGGATACCAAAGGATGACTATACTCTGATATATAGTTTCTCTAGTTAAGCATAAAGGTAAAAACAGAATACGAGTTTTTAGTTCCTTACAAGTGAGTAGTACCTTGTGCTTAACTAACATAAATACTAATGTTGTATGAAATTCAAATGTTCACGTAATCATGTATACTGTATTCTGTATAGCTAGTTTGAGACATTAGGCATTTAAATGTTTTTATTAGCAATGTAATAGAACACTTGAATATTTGTTGGTAGAAGACTGATTATACAACTTAAATTATTTGTTTGAATTGAAGTTTTCATTATAGTCACCTAAGTCAATAAAACATGTGTTTAAATGTGTCTTATGGCAATGACCATAAGCCAAACATAGACTTAATTTAACAAATAGCTTTACAATGGAGTTGTGAATTTGTTAATGTTTTTCTTTTCTCCAGTTTTTAAGCCACAGCTGCTTACTTGTTGGATTGTCATTATGAAACACAGAAACACAGATTTTTCTTTTTTTTTTTTTTTT